ATATATATATATATATATATAAAATTATATATATAAAATTTACATGAGGAAAATATGTACAGATCTGTCAACCTGTACCTATTCATTATTACATGACGAGAGAAAAAAGCCTGACATGGAGAAAGGATATTCTAATAACCTCGCACACGTACTGTTTTGTCAACGCGTCGCATCTAGCAATAATCTTCGGTATATGTTGGATTGTTAAAATATCTTTGACATAGTCTGGTAGTGTCTGATCTAGCAAAAGGCATACAAGCTACCGGGCAAATAATTTGTCTATATTACAGTTCTGTTGAAGAGAAGGATAGCACACATATGTAATATCTTTGATTAAATTTCTATTTCCTTTTTAGCTTATGTTATTATCAATTATTTTTGTGTCTTTAAAAAATTAGTCAACAAACTAAACTATAATGCGAAATTGAATATATGAATTGAATGAACGAAAATCATACTCACGTCGTTTTGAATCTTCAATACAAAAAAGAAGAGAGAAATCTTAAAGAACGTATTATGAAATACAGATGCTGTAATGATGAATTTACGAAGATCACGTTTGTGGGAGTTGGATGGGATTGGGATAAAGGGCACCAAGTCGATCCAGGAAATTTATGTCCTACATTATTACACAAGAAAATGAAAAAATATTATTTAAATAGAACAAAGGACATGTTCAGTTAATAATTGAATCGAACATATAAATAATTTTTCCGATTCCTTTTCGAAAAATTCGCGATATAACTTCGAGGCAATATCTCTCGACTTATATATGCTAAATTGTAATATTACAAATATATTGTGTAATGCAAAATTTAAGAATTTAAAACGTAATGCGAAACGCTTGAATAACTTTCGTACGAGGAAGGTGCGTGAAATTTGCATAATCAAGTCAAAAGTAAGAGTCGCGCCGCTCCGCAAAACTGTATTTTGCTTTCAAACGACATTTAAAAGGACGATTCCGCTTGTCTGGGCACAAGTTTATTGTCAATCGACGGTAGTTATTTTCGACCTTATCTGCTGCCCCGAACATAAAAGCATTCCAGATAAGCGACAGTAATAGGGAAAGAAGAGGAAAACTTACGCCATCACGTGTGGCACGTCGATAGAGTGGGAGGACGCTCGCTTGCGATCGCCAGCCATATCGGCGAGTCTGGCGAAATCCGTGTCTTGATCGGCGAGTCGTGCACTCTTACGTGATTCGAGCAACCTGATTTCGTCTATACGTTTGGTTAGGCTCATAGTACCCTGTAACAAAAAAAAAGACATATATTAATCTTGGTTCGGATTCTTCTAACTTTCAGTTACATTTTCATACGTTCTCACATAATACCTGGATTCGAAAAGCGAATTTACAGATTGTGCACGTTTTTTTGAAAAAATTGATGCAATTACGACATAAAAAGAAGATTGAAAATACACATAAAAGTAGATTTAGGTAATCAAACATACATATTCTCTTGTATTTCTCATTCAATCCACGTTAGTTGGTTAAATGAAATTTAACAGTAGTAAGGAGCAAATTACTTTCTATAGAAGAGATTTCGCTTAGTTTTCAATGGAACAAAGCATACGATACAAGATCATAAGATTTCTAAATAATTCTCTTCCAACGTGAGAAATCCTAAAAACACTACAAAATTTATACACGCTTGTGCTCCGTATCAAACGCCGATGAATGTACATGGCATTGCTTTATCCCCGTGTGATATCTTCCATCAGAAAGTTTTTTTTTTTTTTTTATAAACGCGATCCGCCTACGAAACCTTTCAGCCGTACGTATCGATAGTTCGGAATTGGATTCCCAAAGGCGTTCCATGCGTACACACGGAGGTATTCGTGCAATATCGTGGAGAAAGTGCGAAATTTTGAACGTATCCCGTAACTTTCCCTCCCGACCGGTGAAACTAATCGCAAATAATCGCTTCCTCGATAGCCCGAAACGGAAACATGACACGTCTTTAGACATTGTCGGAACCGTAATAGTCTGATAATGCCGACTTGCGTTGATTACGCGTACACGCATCGGACATTATTTCGTCGATGTAATTGCAATTTCGTTGCAAAGTGCATGTACAGGTATATTCTTAATTTGTCGCTCATTTCTCTCGGAGTGGTAACTACGGAACAGATATCGCCATGCAAACGCCGAGAAAGTCATGTATGAGAACGATTTGTACGTACGCGTGGATTCATACAGGAAACAAAAAAGAAAAAAAAAAGCACGATAACCTTCGGTAATTTTTGCTGAACACGGTATGCGTGGTATGCGGCTGTTATTGCGAGTTCCGGCTTCGAGTGTTTACGAGGAAGAAGACCCGTTGCTTGCATCGCCGCAGCTCGTTCGCGATGGATCTTACGTGTGCAGGGTTTACGGGGTGTACGCAAACTGGAGCACACGAAATGAAACACTCGAGCAGGACTTTCTCATCGGTCTCGTTACTCAACGGCGAATTTTCGCATCTGCAAAATCAGAGCGCGACTGCCCTCGTCTGCTGGGAATAATGCTCTTACAAAATACGGATGCACCAATTAAAGTACGTTTATTTAGCAGATAGTTGAGTGTATTGATATTGTATGTTAAGCAACTGTTTCACGCCTATTTTCTCATTCTCGATTATGAATACATTTCTTCGGTGCTTTAATACACCTGTGCGTGTTTACGACTCGATGATGTTGCGTTTGTAACGCAAATAACTGACAGTTCATGTTCACCTTCGCACAGCGATGACGACGTACACTCGATGGAAATATTTTTGTATAAAAAAAAAAAACGATCCGTTTGCGAAGAATATTGATGATGGTGAACAATGCCTTTTTGTATTGAATCAAACACGATTCAGTCAAAGTCATAATCGGGCAAGGAAATGTGTTTCCAATGTCAAAGAGATATAAGCTTCGATCGATATTAGGCAATCAAATTATTCATTAATACATACATTTTTCATTACGTTAAAAAATAAGACTTACTCATCGACATATATCACATTATATTTTATACATGCAAAATGTTTATGAGTTCAAAAACAAAAAAAATAACTAAATAATGAGGAAGTCTCGGTCTGAGCTGGATTATAATACTTAAATATTATACCGGTGTGAATTTATATACATATTCAGTTTTTCAGAACGCAGTTTACAGAACTGAATATGTATACATAAATTCATACCAAAATATTATTTAAGCATTGAACTGATAAGACTTCCTCGTTACTAATTTAGTGTATATTCACACGCGATTTAATGACATTTATTATTGTTTATTGCATGTGCCTTTAAAAACAATAATCTTAAATATTTTGAAATGTTAATAATGATTACGTTATATCTTAATATGACATATTTCAAAACAATATTCTAGTATTATCGAAAGTGAAAAGCAAATTAATAATCAAATCAATTTAATTTAAGTAAATACGAGCAGATTAATAATTAAATTAATTAAATTAATTAAATTCAAATTCAAAAAAAACTTCATGAATCTACTTTGCTCTAAAATTTTCAATTGTTTCAATGTTATAATCGCAATTATAATCTTTTGTGAATTATAAAAATCAAGAAATCCTGCCGCGATCACTTAAGTCATTTTTTACAAATTTGTGTATACGAAAAAAAAATTCGAAATAATTCTATGTCTCGCAGAATCGAATTGCAACATATCGCACGCGATGCGTATATAAAACATGCGGCCGTATACACGAAACAAAGACATCGATGAGATTCGAGCTGTTAATTCACGCCCACAACATCGTCATATATTCATATTATATTCACATTATGATATATCCATCTATTCGCGTGCGTACAGAACTCGCGGTTTTATCGCCAATCGTTCGCGGACCGATGGTCGTCGGTATTATGGCTCTTGCTTCGATACAATTTTCGCACGAATCGAATGCATCTGCGTTCGAAAAGTGTTGACGGTTACGTTTGGAGCTGTTAACGTCACCAAGAGTCATGTTGAAATATTTTTGCGAATATCAAACTTGATACAAAATGTATCGAAAGCAAACACGCGATTCGTTGGAATTTGTACATGTTTCACATATAGAAGTCTGCTTTTTATTGTATTGACTTTTGTATTATTAAATTGTTCTTCAGAAATTGCGATTTTTTTTTAAGTGGTTTACCTTGTTTATTTTGAACAAATTGACAGCAGATTATTTAATGGAACAGATCGCAAACTTGGCATTGCCGTTATCGTCATATTTTTTAAATATTACTGACGATTAAGATATTTTAATAATTATTTTATACATGTATATATATATATTAGAATAATAATAATACATGATGATAATAGTAAAATTAAATATAGCATCGTTAATAATTTTTTTAAGTATGTACTTTCGAAAAATTAAATGAAGATGTTGCGTGAATAAAAAAAGAAAAATTTGCAAAAAATTAGTAATCGCATTCGAACCTTCCTAATGATCGAGAAAAGTTCGATATATTTATGCTATTACACGTTTTTTTTTCATGAAGACTGAGGATTCTGAAAAACGATCCACTACTCTCGATAGCTCCTGGCCATTTTGCCCGGCTTCTTAACTTCGATTACTATAGAAGCAAAAGACGCAAGATAGTATGAATTTATCCAACGCACACATACTTATGAGTCATGTACGCTAATTTATCCGCGTATTCCTTAGAAATTCCATTAATTCCGCCAGCACTTCAACAAGACAAGCGTTAACAATTTTCAGATATTTACGTGAGAAAAATCTCCACGTAGAAAGATACACGCGGCAGAAAGTGCGCTATTTCATATAAGAGTG